AAGCTCACGCCCGGTAACTCGTCACAGTACCTGAAAGGTACCGGTGGAAAGACAGCGGATGCATTAATGTAATGGCCGCTCCTGTGGTGCTGAAGGAACTTCGGAAGGAATGGGCATCTTAGGTCTATGATTTGCTTGAAGCGTGCATGGTCAGATCACACTTTATTTTTATGATTTCAAAGGACAACATATCGCACGCGTTGTACAGTTTCCAAGTCCTTTAAGCCTTTGCATAAGCTTTTATCATACGTAACATTCAATACGTATTGTATTTTTAGCTCAACAATTTTCATTTGCAATTGAACGCTTGCAAGGACGCTCCTCCTAGACTCTTCTTTCTGCATCACCTGGTATACTAGTTTCATCAAATGGTCCACAGGCGAGTTCTTGGTGAGGCTTCAACTTCTTATAAATGCCCTGCTCCAGGCTGCATTCGCACATTCGGTACTACACAAGGACTGAATTCTCATCTACGCAATGCTGCAAGCTGTAAATGGTATAAGTTAGGGAAGGAAGAGAGCTGGATAGCATGGATGATGAAGGTACAGTGGATTTGAGATGGAGGGACTACCAGATGGGATAGCGGATGAGGTGGATGATGATTTATTTCAGTTGATACCTTTGGGGCCTGATAGTGAGTTGCAGTATCAATTTCTTGTTACGTTCTTACATTATTTCTAGTTCATGAAATACACAACGAAGATAACCAGAACATGATGGACATAGACCAGGAGCAGGAAGAGCTCACAGCGGGTCCGTCTAGGCACAGAACCGCTTAGCAGAGGAAGATGCGCGTGTCACAGAGACTCATTCTACTGCTGGGAGGGTCATACGCATGGAGGAGGACAGTGTATGCTAAATGGCGGACACAATTGGATTAGGTGATGGAGAGGAGGTGGAATCAGGTCGTTCTGATGATGAAGATGAAGATGGTAATTTATTCTACCCCTTTGCATCACGACTGGACTGGCAGGTAGCATGTTGGGCCTGTGCAAGAGGGAATAGGGCACAAAGCATTTGACAGGTTGTTAGCTATACCAGGGGTATGTCAACGTACATATTTTCTATCAATATCATGGCTGATTTTTTGCAAATAGGTTAGAGAGCGTTTAGGACTTGCATATCACAATATCAGAGGACTCCATCAAACCATAGACAGCATCCCTCCTCGAGCTAAATGGCAATCAACTTACTTGGCCTTCAATGATACGCCTCACTATAAGCATGAACTACACTATCGAGATCCTTTGGAAGCCATTCAAACGTTGCTGGGCATCCTGCTCATGCTCAAGATATTGTCTATAAGCCTTCAAAGATATTACAGACTCTTCTCATTCTACCCGCATATTAATGAAATGTGGACAGGGCGTTGGTGGCATGCAGTCCAGGTGAGCGTCTTAATATTGATTACACTGCTATAACAACTAAGTATGTTTTTACAGGATAGACTTCCTCAGGGCGCATCTGTAGCTCCTGTAATTATTGCCACAGACAAAAACTCAGCTGACCCGGTTTTCTGCATCCAAATCAGCATACCCCGTCTACCTCACTCTAGGCAATATACCTAGAGCAATACGACGGAAATCCAGTCAGCACGCCTGTATTCTTATAGGGTATTTATCTGTGGATAAAATCCTAAAGGAGGAGCTATCTGCAAGAGAAGTCTCTTCCAGGGTACAGCGTCTCTTCCATGACTCAATAAGGATCATTTGGAACCGCTGAAAGAGGCAGGAAGAAGAGGAATAGAGGTGGTGGGTGGAGATGGTCTTGTTCGCCTGGTCTTTCCCATTCTAGCTTGCTATGTGGCGGATTATCCTGAGCAATGCTTGGTTACCTGTACCAAGTACGGTACTTGTCCCAAGTGTAGGGCTAGAGCGGATGAATTGGCTGAAATACAACATTTTGCCAGATGTACTCAACCTTGGACCTCATCAGTAATTGACCATGCCAACATCTCCACAAAGGACCGACTCTGCCTTTCGTAAACAGTGCATGTCTCAGGATGTAGCTGGAGGCGTATTTGAACCATTTTGGCTGGACTTCCCTCATTGCGATATTCACTTGGCTATCACATCTGACGTACTTCATCAACTGTATCAAGGGATATTCAAGCACATGGTCGAGTGGTGTCAGGAGCTTATGGATGAAGAAGAACTGGATCACAGACTTAGAACTCTCCCCTCCTTCTTATGGCGTCCATCACTTCCATAAAGGCTGGTCTGCTTTGGGTCAAGTCGGTGGAAAAGAGAGGAAAAATATGGCTAGAGTGCTATTGGCTTGCTTAATTGGCAAAGTTCCAAGAGGCGTCATTCAGGCATACCGTGCCCTCCTTGATTTCATTTATCTTGCCCAATATCCCACTCATGATGACGACACTCTGGAATATATGCAACAGGCCTTACAAGATTTTCACCTTCACAAGGAAGTCATCATTAATCTGGGTATCCGAGACCATCTCAATATTCCCAAATTCCATTCCTTGCAACACTACCTGGAGAACATACGCAACTTCGGAACTACAGACAACTATAACACGGAGATGTTTGAGAGGTTTCATATTGACTTTTGTAAAGAGGGGTGGTACGCTTCCAATGGAAGAAATGAAAGGCCTCAAATGATCTCTTGGCTAACTAGAAGAGAGAAAGTAGCGTCATTTCAAAGCTATCTCAAGATGTCTATGGAGGATGAAGAAGAAGAGTTTTCCCACTCAAGGTTTAGAGATCATAGAGTCATCCTCACTAAACGTCCTCATCGCCTTCACCAAAATATCTTGGACGTCATGCAGAATCATTCTTGCAAAGGCTTCAAGAAAGATCTCATCACCTATCTCAACTCTCAGTTGGCTCACTCTCATTCACGCGGGCAGCTCAGGAACATGGATCTTCCTTTTAGTCATATTGATATCTATCATGGATTCAAATTCTGTCTAGAGTCATTAGGCAATGACGTTGACTTTGATCAATTGGAGGAGGCAGATTTTGTCAAAGCACAGCCACCTGTTTCTCATAAAGCTGGACGCTTTGATACAGTTGTAGTCATGGATGATCCTGACTGTGAAAGCACTGGTTTAACAGGTGAGTAATATTATGATATATCTGTTGAAAAATTGTATGAAAATTTCAAAACTATAGGAACACGTATTGGAAGGTTGAAGATTATATTTCGTCTGCCACAACAAGTATATGGGTCTATTCAACCTGCATGGACTAAAGACCCTTGGCATATGTTGAGTGGTATACTCCATTGAAATCTGCAGCAGAAGACTATCATGAGATGTATACTGTCAAGAACCTTTACTTTCTTCAGATGGTTCATTGCCAGGTAAAGTTATTCCACTGTCTTGTATTAGACAGACATGTCAGCTTGTTCTGAACTTTGGCACAACAACCATTCCTATAGATTGGACTTCAGATAATGTATTAGATAAATGCGATACCTTCTTACTTAATTGTTTTACCTCCAAATATGCTTACCAAACTTTATGGTAATATATAGACCTTCATGATTTCTATATTGGTCTCTATGGCTATCATAGCTGGCCATAGACTGTGTAGAGCTATGACCCACTATCACAACTATATAGAGGATGATTATCTATATAGAGAAACAGTTTTTCCTGATGCACATGCAATTCCAAAGCCTCGCCCGGTCAATGCAGGGAAGACTGGTGCACTGCTGACATCGCGAATGGGCGACCTCCTGACTGGGCTGACTGTGAGAGTCACTTGCAATGTTCAGGAGGATGGTGCAACAGAACGAGTCAATAGGTCGCCGGCGCCGAAGAACATGCCGGGAAAGAAAGCGGTGATTGAGCCATCAGCGAGGACAACCCGGAGTAAGTCAACACAGCAGCCATTGGACACAAGCACTCGAGTGACGAGAGCAAGGGGAAAGAAGTAATGGGCTGATACTACACTGCCTGCCATTACCTGCTTGTATTTACATGTCAATGTGTAACTTTCATATATCAGACCTAATATGATATGCAGAGTCCCCACTAGTCAATATCGATTATTGAGTCCCGACTATTGAGTCCCGACTATTGAGTCCCGACTATTGAGTCCCGACTATTGAGTCACAAACATTGAATCCCGACTATCGAACCTCGAGTCCCGAACCCCGAGATTCGTCAAACACCGAGTCCCGACTATTGAGCATCGAGTCCCGAGCATCGAACATCGAGTCCCGAAAATCGAGTGCCGAGTGTTGAGTCCCGATTATCGACTCCCGAATATCAAACATCAAGTCCCGACTATCGAGTCCCGAGTGTTGAGTCCCAATTATCGAATCCCAACCATCGTGTATCGAGTCCCGTTCGACACCCGGGGACATGTATTGAAAAATTCGGTAGTGTACATGATGTGGGGATGTCAATGAAAATTCACAGGTTGCAATGCAGTAATTTACATGGTCAGTTGTTCTTCAAAGTGTTCAATCATGGAATCTACTACCCTGAGCATTTCAATGCTCATCTGTTCAACTCTTTGCAACCTCTGCAGGTCTGCATCAGCTTTTTCAGTTTGTCAGATGTTTCTGCCCAAGCAGTTCGGAATGGACGCTCGGCCTCGATTAGTTGTTGGATGGAAGGGTCAGGAAGACCTCCAGTACGGCGTTTGTAATCATGGAGTCGATCTTGGATGGATTGGTCTTCCAGAAAGATTAGCTCAAAGATAACTGCTCTGCTTTCAGATACTCACATTCTGGGTGTTGGTATTTTCCGAAAGGATGGAGCTCCCGGACCATCAACCGTACATCCTCGATATTGAGCTCCGGCTGGTCTCCAGGGAGTTCGGTAGATGATTTGTCGGCTTGGGAGATAAGATCAGTCTCCATAATGGTCCAGAATAAATGGACCCACATGAAATAGACACCTCTGAGGTAGCCGGAGCAAAAGTGGGAGGATCAGCAGAGTCCAGCAACTCATCAACATCAATGACATCATCCTCAGGCCCGAGGTACAAGTCTGGATCAATGAGACAGCTGGCATCATCAGCTTGACCCGGATGTGATTGATCTTCAAGGGTGAAGTTAGCATGCATGGTGATCCCAGGTCATCAGTAATGTATAGTCATACCGGGTATTGCAGCCAACGCATCCGGGGGTCCGGATGACATAGAATCATATTCTATGTCATCATCCGGCCTGAGGTATAAGTCATCTAAGTCATCTAAGGGATACCCGGTGAATAGATAAGGCATGATAAGAATACAACATACCTAGTGATGCCCGGCCCATAGATGAGTCATCCACATCCATAGAATTATGGTCGGTCACCGGTGGGTCATTAAATCTAACAGCTGGATGGGCACTCATGTGTGGAGAATTGGTGGACTGATTGACTGATGATCTAAAAAACTTCGAAGTTCGACACAAAGCCGGCAATTGCCGAAAGTTGAACAACGACCAAACAAACACAAACAATAAACGATTTTGTGGATCGCCCATCAAATGTCTTGTTTGTTTGAAACTTCATCTTTCTGATAACTGATTTCAATCTGATTTCAAGATCTTTAAATCTCTCAACCCACTCATCATGTCCACTCCAGTTGACAACTCTTTGACCCATCTCAAGGCATCCGCTGCCCAGATCATGGCCATCATCAGTGCCGCCCGGCAGATTCCCCCGGGTCCCAGCCACTCGGCTTTGGGAAAACAGGTTGCTACACTTGTGGTATGTATTTTGTTTGGGTGCTTTTTCTTCTCTAACATCTTGGTAGTCTGATGTAGCCAAGGAGTATGGGTCCGGGGATGGTCCTATTCCCGGCCTCATCATTTCATGCTCCAAAGAGCTCCAGCGCATCCGCAACATGGTTCCCAAGGTCTGGCCAGACTGGCACTCCATCGGGTATGACGATCCTCGCATTCTGAGGCACACCTGGTACCCCAAGGTCCTCGCCTGGAACGCCTTAGGCGACCAGATCTTCGATCTCCCAACTGCTGCCCCCCCATCCACAGGTCCGATTCCTGTCAACCTTCCCTCCCCAGCCATCCCTGCCGGCAATGTCGCCGGCCCTTCCACCAACCCCACCACCGAGTCCCGGGACAAGGGGAAAGGTAAGGCCGTCTTCGCTGACCCAGACCCCGAGGCAGAAGGGAGTAAGAAGAGGAAGTCCCCCTTGATTTCTGGACCCTCCTCCCAACCCCCGAAATCTGCGATGAAGAGTCACAAGCGTCAGAGGTCTGCTCGCATTGTGAAGTCCAAGGCCATCGTGGAGTCGGAAGATGATGAAGACTCGGTTATGCAGGTATGTTGTCTTCTTCATTTTTTCATTGTCTCTCATTTTCGTGTAGCCACCTTTGGGTGGAGTGCCGGAGGTCGTCCTTCCCCGGCTCTCCACAATTGTCGCAAGGACGCCTGATTCGCCTCACTCGCCCTGGGTACCCAAGAAGAAGCCCTTTGGCCCTGCCACAGTAAGTGTCATTTATGCGTCCGGGACTCGGGTGTGTGTACCAAGTACCGAGTACCGAATCTCGGGACTCGGTACTCGGTACTCGGTACTCGGTAGTCAGTACTCGGTGATTTGAAACAGTTTTATGAGTTTCGAGCATCGTGTCGAGTACCGAATACCGAGTACCGAGTCCCGAGATTCGGTACTCGGTACTTGGTATTCGGTAGTCAGTACTTTCGAGTTTCGAATTTTGAGTTTTGTTTCCAATCTTTTGTCTCGCATGCCGAGTGCCGAATTCCGGGTGTCGGGTGTCAGTACTCGGTTCTCAGTACTCGGTACTCGGTGATTCGAGTCTCGAGACTTGTGACTCGTGATTTACAAATCGACATTTGAAACTTGTGATTTCTGAGAACAATGTGTATTATCTTATGTATTTCTGTACTCATTTCACCGACTACCGAGTGCCGAATCTCGGGTCTCGGGTCTCGGTATTTCAAGACAACAAAAATGTATATCATCTTAAATTTGAATTTTCTTAACTCGAGCCTCGAAACTCGTAAAAATGTACAATACCTAGGCCTATCTGTCTATATGATATGTATCTGGGCCCACCCATCTATCTAATACATAATTCACCTCACCCTTGGCCCACCCGTCTATCTAATATTACCCGACGTCGGCCCACCGATCTATGTAGAATTCCCCACGTCGGCCCACCCGTCTATCTAATATGACCCCACGTCGGCCCACCCATCTATGTAATAAATAATTCCGCTCACCCTTGGCCCACCCATCTATCTAATATTACCCGACGTCGGCCCACCCATCTATGTAGAATTCCCCACGTCGGCCCACCCGTCTATCTAATATGACCCCATGTCGGCCCACCCGTCTATGTCATAAATAATTCCGCTCACCCTCGGCCCACCCGTCTATCTGATATTACCCCACGTCGGCCCACCCGTCTATCTAATAAATAACTCACCTCACCCTCAGCCCACCCGTCTATCTAATATTACCCCACATCGGCCAACCCGTCTATGTAATAAATAATTCCCCTCACCCTCGGCCCACCCGTCTATCTGATATTACCCCACGTCGGCCCACCCGTCTATCTAATAAATATTTCACCGCTCCCTCGGCCCATCCGTCTACAAAATAATACTAATACGTCGGCCCACACGTCTATATAATACTATTTGCTATACATCTCTCCTCAGGTCTATAATATATGTCAATCCTACTCTACATATTACCCACATGGGCCCACCCATCTCCATAATAATATTTCTCCCGGCCCATCCGCTATCGTCGATGATATATATAACATCAGCATAGATGGGCCCACCCGTCTCCATCGGAAATAATATGCCTCCCAGCCCACCCGTCAACATCGGGAATATACATAACATCGGCCCATAATCCGCTGGCCCGTATTACACGGGATATTATGTAGGTCGGGTGACCCATATAATACGGGATTTGTCACTGAAGGGGCTCCGGATAAGGGGTGATCATGAGTATTACGGAGGACGCGAAGTCGAAGGTTATCGGATTCTGGGACATATATACGGTTGTCGCAACGGAGGAAACCCCTATCGTCCACTGTCCATCTCGGATCTGAAGGTACCGGAAGATGGTTGGTTGCAATAGGGTCATTAGGAAGTGCGGTCAGGATGTCTTTCCAAAGGTCATCAATATCCATTAGAACAGCTGCTCTAAGAACCGGAGTTGCTAAGGTTGAGGCTCGTAGGGACGAAGCTAACTGTTCGGACGTGAATACCGGACGGAAGTTATGAGGGTTAACTCGAGCGTAGTCCTTATCCCCCTCTTTGGGATAGACGTCCCAGCGTCTAGTAAGGGAATCCGGTTTAACTCCGAGTTTTCCGGGACGGAAGTGGATGACAAGATTGAACTGATGGAGGAAGTCCGACCAGCGGGCCTGACGGCGAGAGAGGAGTTTGGTAGTGGCGAAGTACTCAAGGTTTTTGTGGTCCGTGACAACATCTACAGGCTCGGCCGAGCCTTCTAGATAATGTCGCCAGGTCCGGAAAGCTTCGTATATAGCTAGAAGTTCCTTATCGTGGGTGTCATAGTTAAGTTCCGGAGCGGTTAGCATTCGAGAGTAGAACGCTACCGGACGAAGCTCTGAGTCCGGACATACTATGGATAGTATTCCAGCTATAGCATAGTCAGAGGCATCGGTTTCCACAACTATAGGAACATCCGGCATCCAGTGCGTAAGCACCGGAGCCGTAGTGAAGGCTTTCTTGAGTTCTTCGAAGGATTTCCGACATTCATCGGAAAAGTTCCACGGAGCATCCTTGCGTGTAAGCCGTGTTAACGGAACCACGATATCCGAGTAGTTGAATATAAACCGTCTATAGAAATTTGCGAATCCGAGGAAGGATTGGATATCCTTGACTTTCCGAGGTTCCGGCCAGTCAGTAATAGCTTGGATCTTATCGGACGACATAGTTAAGCCGTCCGGAGATAGGAGATATCCGAGATATTCAACGGAAGTGGAATGGAATTCGCATTTTTCGGGTTTGGCATAGAGACGATGTTTACGGAGTCGACGGAAGTACTTCTCAGACGTGTTGCTTGTGGGACGCAAGGTCATGGGAATAGATGAGGATGTCGTCCAGATATACGATAACGCATACATCCAGCATATCAGCAAACACGCTATTGACAAAGCGCTGGAATGCTGCTGGAGCGTTAGTGAGACCTTCCGGCATCACCAACCATTCATAGGAGCCATAGCGCGTTCGGAAGGCAGTCTTCCATTCGTCCCCTTCCGCTATCCGGACGAGATGATAAGCGGATCGGAGGTCGATTTTGGTATAAACTTTAGCACGGCTCGGAGAGTCTAATAGGTCGGCAATGAGGGGTAACGGATATCGGTCTTTCTTACTGATCTGGTTGAGTCCACGGAAATCCACACAAAGGCGGAGGGATCCGTCCTTTTTCTTGACAAATAGGACCGGAGCTCCGTGAGGAGAGGATGAGGAGCGGAGGAGTCCAGAGGCAATATTTTCATCAAGAAACTTCCGGAGGGCTGCAAGCTCGACCGGGGATAGCGAATAGATAGTTCCGAGGGGAGGACTAGTTCCTTCTTCCAGATCTATGTTCAGATCATAAGGACGATGTGGAGGAAGCTGACCAGCCTTTCCCTTGTCGAAGACATCCGCAAACTCGTGATAGTCCGAAGGAATTTGGGATAGATCCGGAGGATCGGACGATAGAGAAGCGGATCGGAGATCGACACCGGATGGTCGAAGGTATATACTGAACTGGACCAATCCTTCTAACTTGCAGGCCCGGCAAAAGGCAACTGCATTGATTAGGGATATATTAGGAACAGTGTTATCAGCGGAGGGTACGGATGTAGTCGGAGGAGGTATGGTTTCCGTCGGAGGAGGGATATCCGAGGACTGAAGTGACGTCGGAGGGGTCGATGGCATTCCATGAGATGTCGTCCGGAATTCAATGCTGCCCAAAACCCAGTCAATCAACGGATTGTGTCGGGTGAGCCAGCTATATCCAAGAACGATAAAACAAGATGAATCCAAAGGGGTAACGTAGAACGTATCAGAGGTGACTACACCGGACGGAAAGCGGACGGACAAATCTATAGCTTCGGAAATAGTATTATTACAAGTACCATCAAACAAGCGGAGCGGAATCGTAGGTATCGGATATGTAGGGATTTTATGTTTTCGGATGAACGCAGTATCTATGAAACAATGAGAAGAACCACAATCTACAAGAGCTGGAAATTCGGATACGGATGGAAGTAACGGAAGTGAAACATATGGACAGAGGGAAGTCGGATCCGAGAGCGCGACAGCGTTGAGTCTTAACTCCTTTGTGCAGGCAGAGTCAACGCGACCCTCTTCCTGCACGGAGCTAGGAGAGTCGCGGACTATTTCTTTGTCTCAGTAGAGACATCCGGTTTGACTTCCGGAGCGACTACTGCAGCGCGGCCTTTGGCAGCACGCGAAGTAGACTTGGTGCATTCCCGAGCTGTATGGCCGGGTCCGCCACAGAATAAGCAGAGTTTCTTGTCCATCCTTCTCTGCCGCTCTTCAGACGTTAACTTTCCGTCCTTACCCAGCTTGGAAGTAAGATCCGGAACCTTAGGAGCGGACGAGTTCGAGGACGCGGATGGCTTTGTAGACTTCTGATCATTGGAGTTTCCGGATTTGTGATTTCCGGATCCGGACGTATTGGAGTTCGTCCGGTCAGAAGTGGATTGCTTAGGGGTAGTGGATGAAGTGGGTTTAGCTTCTCGAGAGATCTCTCCCTTCCGTTCCCAGTATCGGGCGTCGATAGTCTGAGCGAGGACTTTGTATTCGGAAAGAGTAGAGGGTTTACCCATGCGACTGATTTCATCCTTGATACGGGCCGGGAGTCCGTTGTAGAATTGGCGTCGTAAGGCTCCGTCGCCCCAGCCACGAACCTGTGAAGCAAGACGCTGGAATTCCACAACGTACTTGTTGATGCGCTGTCCATCGCGCATGTGGAGCTGTTCGAGCTGCATTTCTGCATCACCGGATGGGTCATGAGGCCCGAAGTTGGCTTGGAGTTCAAGCATGAACACGGAATAGTCATCCATCCAATCCGGATGGTCGTCCGAATCATCGGACAGGAGATCCGGTTCAAACCATTCAAGGGCCATACCCTTAAGGTAGGATTGGGCGAAGTTGACTTTAGCCCTTCCGGTACGGAAAGCCTTAGGCTTGCTCTGGAAGTTAAGCTCACACTGGACAAAGAACGCACAGAGCTTCCGTGGTTCGGATCCGTCGAAGGTATCCGGTTCTCGGACCTTGACTCTAGAATCTTCGGATGCGGGCGCGCGACGATTATTGCGAGCAAGGTTATCGATGGCTTCTGAGAGTCGAAGCATAACGCGGTCTTGTGGGTTTAGGCCGTCATTTTCATCGTCATCATCATCCGGATCACCACCGTTATCATCGGGTGGATTACCAGGGAAATCATCATCACCATCATCGGGATCATCATCGTCCGGAGGTCCTACGGCAGGAGTGCGTGTTGGGGTTTCCGGGTGTCGACGATTAAGGAGTTCGGATATGGTTTGAGCGGTTCCGTGGGTGCTAACACGGCGCTGAGAGAAACTGGTGAAGGTGTTGACTATAGGTGTCGGATCACGACGGAGGGAGGTTAGTCCGACCGCGTGCAGAGTTGTTTGTGTCTTGGTAGGAGGCATGATAGATGTTAAGTAACTCGGAAAGGTATGAGTTCGAATATACTGTTAAGACCGTACTCAAGTAGTATCGGATCCGAAGGGCTTCGGCCTCAGCTCGTGCGCTGTGCCTCTTTCCCGAGTCTTGCCCCTTATTTCAGAGAGCTAAAGTATCGCGTCTAGTGAAACGGATAAGTATTGCAATGGATCCGTTAAGACTTCCGGATATCGAACGTATAGAGTAACGGCCAATCCGGATCGGATCCGGACTAGAAACTAACGGGTGAGGACTGTCCGAAGACAGAGGCGGATATGTAAACTACAGGAATCTATCCTAAGTCTCGGAGTAGACAAGAGTAGCGTACTCAAGTCCGGAAGGATAACGGAGGGACTCAGAGTCCAGACGGAATGAGTGCAATCTAAGATGATATTCGAACTGATCTACTACAGCGCATATACAAAGGTTTATATACTACGGATAGCTAACGGAATGATCAATAAGCAAAGGTGCGAGGCTATGTACGAAAGTATAAGCAAAGTCTAAGTGGAGCGTATTGGTAAGTTGGATGGATCACGAATCATGAACCGGGAATGAAGTACAAGTAAAAGCGGATTCGTAAGTGTAGCGGATCAGTAAGCATAGCGGATCAGTAAGAATAGCGGATCAGTAAGCAAAGCGGAAGTAAAGGATAACCGGTATACCGGTGTACAGGAATACCGAAAGGAGATGAACGATAGTTAGAGTTATATGAACAGGAAATGAAATAAGAATCAAAGCGGATCTGTGGGCCGGACGATGGATATGTTCATCGGATCTGGATCGGATCTGAGATCCAGATCATCGGATCTGTAACCGGATATATGGTATATGACAGCCTGATGGATCCCCACCACCGATGGACACGGATGACAATACATCACAGCCATATCTTCCCATTCTTCTCATGCCTTCACAACTTCCTCACAAGACAACGCATGGTCTCACTCAGTTTCTGCTGGACCCTGATCCATCTCTAGAGGATTTTGCCCATGCCCAACAGTTTTCATTACCGATTATCACATCACCACCACGAATTCGTCATCAAATGCAAAACACATTGATTCTGACAGGTGATGAATCTCCTACTGCCCCAAATGCTGGAGTGCAGCCACAGCCCTATCATACCACAGATCCCACCTTCATTTTCCCTGTCTCTACACCATCACCCTCCCAGGCACAGCCATTGACAACCCATATCCCATCTGAGTCAGCTACAACACTACCTGCTGCACCTGCCGGCGCACACTCTACCCAGACTTCAACATTTCTGTCTGATGCTGCCCCCATAGGACTCCCTTCTGACACAGGCAAGAAGCGCACATGTGAATCTGAAGAAGAACGGTTGAATGTCCCTGCAAAATGTCAGAAGGTTAATGCTTGCAACACTGGTCCTAGCCCCCCCACCCCAATTGATGAGACAGTGATGGATCATCAGAATGGTCAGGACAAACATCAACAGTTCCAATCGAAGTGTGCCGCCAAAGCTAATAATATTGGTGGCTCATCCACAACTTGGAGGACTGGATGCAAATGAGTGCATGTGCGTGTCTCAAATGGCTTTATATGTACATATATATACTTGCATGTGTCACGTGTTTTATAATGCAACAATGACTTGTTAGTTCTTGATATCTTGAATTGGGTGATGCAGATAGTGTTGTTGTGCAAGTTGGCAATTACAATGGCTCAAAAGTGCACGTGTGCAAGGGCTGCCCTGTCCAACAACATACCCACCCTGAACATGGACTCGATGTTGCTCTGAAAGATTTGAGCGTGAGACATGGGAAGCTGACCAACTGCGAGAAAACAATGGGGCAGATGATAGTTTGATTGCAGACATGGGAGTAAATTTGATGATTTTAGCCAAATTCAGCAAATGCAGATCAGATAGGCACCAACAACTTTTAAACATGTTTCTAGACAGACATGTTTTGTGAACTTAGAGTAAATGAAAATTCGCTAATTCAAAGCCGGTCTTCTCCATGGTATATCTACACTTTCAGGCAAAGAGGGGCTTGATTTGCAGAGTTTCCAGTGGAACAAGTGAGAGTAACGAAGAAGTGACAATGGAAGGGCATGACAGCAGGATAAAATGTGTCAGAAAATGAGCAAAACAGTCCAAGGAAGCAAAGCTCGTGTAAGCAGATGATGAGTCTACAAGTCAAAGAGATGCTTAATGGAGACAAGGATTGAGAATAACATGAAGACTACCCGGGGGTAAAATGCAAGCTCAAGTCCAAGGATGAACACTATGACTTCTCAGAACTCAGCACTCTTCACAGTGAATGTCTACTGAACCATGGTCTGCTATCAGTTGCTGAAAATAATGGCAGAGAGAATACACACTCATAAATGAGTCCACTATTGCATCAGATTGTTGCAGAAACTACTGATTTCATCACAGCTTGAACAGCGTGTGTTCGAGCACCTCGGTATCGTTTTTCTGGATCTTTTTGCACTTCTTCAAGTAACCTCTATGTATGCATGGCATTGATTGAGAAATCATTGATATTAGCAAAAGATTATGTAAGAGATATAGAGAGTTCGAAAGCAATGCTGATGAATAATTGAACCTGCGGCTAGGGAATTTAAACAAAGTTTGGGATGAGTCATGCAGGAATAATCACATGATCCTATATGTTTTTTTAAACATGACTTTGCAGAGGCATTCCGGGAGACTTGATGGTACTCAACCTGCCAATTGGGCTTGTCAGTCTGATGCATCTTGTCATATACCATATATCTGGGTACAGATCTGAAGATCCGGATCTCAGATCCGATCCAGATCCGATGGACATATCCGTCAGTCTGGTCCACAGATCTGATCTGATTCTTATTTCATGTCCTGTTCATATACATAACTCTAACTATTGTTCATCTCCTTTCAGTATTCCTGTACACCGGTATACCGGTTATCCTTTACTTCCGCTATGCTTACTGATCTGCTTTAACTTATACTTCATTCCTGGTTCATGATTTGTGATCCATCCGACTTACCAATACGCTGTGCACATACTTTGCTTATACTTCGTACATAGCCTTGCACCTTTGCTTATTGATCATTCATTAGTTATCCGTAGTATATAAACCCTTGTACATGTGATGTAGTAGATCAGTCCAAATATCATCTTAGATTGCACTCATTCCATCTGGACTCTAAGTCCCTCCATTATCCGTCCGGACTTGAGTATAAAACTCTTGTCTACTCTGAGACTTAGGATTGATTCCGATAGTCTATATCTTTGCCTCTGTCTTCGGACAGTCCTCATCCGTTAGTTTCTAGTTCAGATCCAATCTGGATTAGCCATTACTCTATATGTCCGATATCCAGAAGCCTTAATGGATCCGTTACGATACTTATCCGTCTCACAAGACGCGATACTCTAGCACTCTGAAATAAGGGGCAAGACTCGGGAAAGGGGCACAGCACACAAGCTGAGGCCAAAGCCCTTCGGATCCGATACCTCTTGAGTATGGTCTTAACACATCTCATGATCCAGGCTGAGTCATAAAGCAAAGGTAATATTACCTATAGATAGACTGAAGAACCATGATGCTATCAAAAGAAGGCCAGGTACCAGGTCCAAGAACCACAGGTCAAGTGCCGGACCAGGATCCATCACTGATGTATCAACCCTATAGATAATAGATACTGTGGGTTAAAGGAATACATGTATCAGTGTTTCCAAATTCCCTCTAACTGCAGGTACTTGATGTATTATTCTTACAGTATGGCCTGATGTATCCTCCTTTCCCCTCAAAAATGTACTTGTCAAGCTTCAGTAGTCACTTGGAAAATGTCAAGGTATCCTGGGTTGTTGGTCACTTTGCTCGATGGGCGGTTTCAAGTGATACCATAGTCATACTATCTCTATCTTGTGATTGATATTCAGTTTACTCTACTATGTATATTTGTGTATATACAAGCAATCAGACTTTCTACTTGTGTGTCTAATGTTTCAGAGAATCATTATCTACTCATGAGTGGGCACTGTTGATGTGGCGATGATTCAGCCATGAGTGGGCAATCATCAGGTAATCAATTTTATCTGGAGACAAAATTGATGATTTGTCTTCACATTTTATCATCAGGGGGTATTTAAAATATTAATGCCTGTCGAAGTGGCGGTCTAAACTTCATACATGAGCAGGCATTCAGTCATGTACTGATGGTTGAAGTTTTTTCGAGTATTAAATGTGAAGTTTCATTTTGAAGTTTAGGGCAGCATTAAAAATACATTTATATTTCTTATTGTCATTGATGTTCGGCCAGCAACAAAATGTTTGCTAATGCTTTATATTTCTCATGTCAGTGCAAGATCTCTTTAATATTTGAAATTTTACATCTGTTTTGACGACAACCTAAATATTAAGTATTATCTTCACATTTCGCACGACATTCCATCAGGAAAAAGACAGTTGACTACATAGTATTACATAGTCAGGGTAGTCCGTGTAGCTCGGTAGCTACCTGCCTTCTATATAGCAACTGCTGTAACTATGTAGTACTACATAGTGCTATGTAGGTAGCGCTACCAGTACTACTGTAGTAGATAGGAGTACCACTACATACAGCTACCAGCCACTATATAGCGCACTGTAGTGACGCAGATAATAGCACATTAAATAGCACAAAAACCAGTGAATTCAAATGATTAATCAACGGAAACTAGTAGATCAACTGGCAGTTAATAGCTGGCTTGATCTTCTTCACTCCCATCCACGAGCCTCAGCTGCCGCTCTCGCTAGCCTCACCATGCATCCTCCTCCTCTTGAAGCTGGTGCTCTTGAATGGCATCTTCAAATGCCTTGTCACTGATCCGGGATGCGTCTGACACCGTAGTAGCGAGTTCCTCTATACCTGCATGGAAACTTTGTCCAAAGGTGAGGCTAGCGCTTATGAAATTATAGTAGTGAAACGTACCGAGCCACATCATGCAAATTGTCGCAAATTCTTTCAAAGAGCTTATAAGGTGCTGTGCGCTCGTCAAAACGCTGCAATGAGCTCAAATGAGTTTGGTAGACACATCCATAGGTAGCTGCTGTAAATTTGATGTCTTCTTTCAAGCCCTGCAGCCACTCATCAATACAGCATCCAATCTATCAACAATCAGCCATATTCAATGTCATGAATATAAGATACGACTCACGGCTGTAAGCGTGAGCACAATAATCTCAGTAGGCATGGGGTTAAAATGCTTATGGTAGACAACGCCTTCATCATTTCGGTTTGCAAACCACATAACATTGATCCCTTCTTGGAGTAATTTGGTCTTGTATATGCCCGTCTTCGCTGTCCAGTCCTATTACCCAACAGTCAGTACTTGAAAGGTCATGTAGACCATTGCACTCCATACCTTGTAAACAAAGGATGAACCGTCTTTCAAAGATTCTGCTAGATCTTGGTTTTGCCTTACAACCTCCCTCAAATCACTCAACCGGAAACCAAAAAACGAACGAGTTAGTGACCGCATCTTTGTTTTGAGCTCGCCACGCACATGTGATGTGCGTTTCAAAAGCTTCAAAACAAGATATAATTTAAGTCAGATTAAGAATGCACGCCGGAGAACAGAGGGCTTACCATCTTGACTGCTGAAGGCATTAATTTGACACTGATGCCTTTTATTTCGCACACCTCATGCCAGGCCTCTTTTGCCAGCATCGTCTCGACAGCAATCGTATCTGGAAATGGCGCCTGTGTGACAATTAGACAGCGGAAAATAGAGGTCGCAGTTACAAGGACGTCTTTTGAGACATCATCAAAATCACTAGCTTTCACACGTTGATGGGAGCCATCTGAATTTTTCTTGATCTTCAGCACTACCATGGCGTCTTCTGTGTCGTGCAGTCGTTTGGTCGCCTGAGGGGCAGGTATTTGTTCCTCATCGGAGTCACCATCCTCTTCATCGGTGTGACCAGCCCCAGCCTCCGATTGAGACTGATCTGCTGACTCTGGGTCCTCGCCAGACTTATCACTAGTGTCATCTGAGGTGTCGTCCTGAGGGGTATTGATTGCAGGGGCTGCTTCAGTAGGTTAGATAGAAGTGTATTAGTTTACAAGCAGAATTCACGTACCATTCAGCTTGCGTGTGCTGCCGCTAGTGGTGCACAATGCCGGGGGAATTTTCCCCGCACTGAATGCCAGGATCTTGGTATTGGACAGCTTCATCTGTAGAACGCGGTCTGAGAACTGAATGAAAATAAAATAATCAGCTATTGTTCAAGTGGCAGGAAACAAGACAAATGAGCTGGTTGTGGTGTCTTCGTCCCTGTTGGCATCACTAAGTAGCTCCGAGGGCTCTTTCTCAAAGACATCAGGATTGTCTTGGTAGGTCGCCTTGAGCACCCTTTTTTTTCCGTTTGTCCAACTTTTTTTCCTTGGTTGCTTGATGACGGATGTGTTTTGCATTTCAGATACTGTAGAGAAAGTGAGTGAAACATCACATCATAGTAGCACAGTGACTTACCTCGATAATTCTCTTTTTCAGTTGGTCATCGTGGTCGACCCCTCACGGTGCGCACAACTGGTTGCTCGTCATGCGGTGATGACGGAATGCTTGTATTTGCTTGCTTGGAGGTGGCCTTATGAGGAGGCATGATTCAAGGTGCGAACAACCTGTAGTTCAGCTGGTTTTATAATGTCGTGCAAGACCTAAACACCCACAATGTGAACCTTGAATCTTTGTTGATTTCAGGGCTTGTTGATTCAGTATAACGTAGGACTAAAAGCTGTGTTAAATTGGAACGATAAAAAGGTAGGGACATACCGTTAGTTAGGGACTCGGACATACTGTTTCAATAATTTTCACTGTCATGGATACCTCCAACTCAGCGAAAAAAGGTGCAGAGCTTACTTCAAACACTCACCACGCTCTGACAGATCTCATAGGTCAATGTCACCATTCACCGAGGCTCGCTATAAAGACAAAGACGGTGTCAAAAGGTGATCCACCCCTCCTCATTACTACCAAATACCAAATACTCACCGGCTTGGAGGCCAAAGCTTGAGGCGCCTGATGCAGAGCCCAATGCAGAGCCCAGAAGGCTGAGGCCAAGGCTCGAGGTGCCTGATGCAGAGCACAGAAGGCTAAAGCATGAGGTGCCTGACGCAGAGCCAATGTTCCTACTCCCTCCATTTCGTCAAACACCAGGCCCCATCTCCGTTGCACAGTCATACTTGCGAAAACTGATTTTGGAGCATTGGGAGGCAGAAATAAAGGCCTGCGAGCAAGCAAAGAAATTGCAACTGTTAGAAATTGCTCCAGGCCCAGCTCTTACCCTAATACAAGCAAGCTTGTGAAGACTTGTTGTTGAGCGCTGGGATGCAGAACTGAAGTGTTGTGAGGAGGCAAAGCGGGCGCAAATGTTAGAGTTACTTCTTGCTGCCCATGGTATCTCCAGACTAGTGTAGTGCCGTTATATCGCCCTGAACCTGAAAAATTTCAGTTGAAACAATGGGCCAGTCTCCTCTCCATAATAGAGTGCGTTCTCAGACTGCGCCTAGGACACTTAGGACATAGTCTCCATAACAGAGTGTGTTCTTGGACTGTGAAAGGGTCAATAACGTACCTGGTAGCTATCAGCGCTGTGGGCAAAGGGTTAGTTACAGCAATGGCACACCTCTAGGTGAGTAGGTAAGTTCAGGGCAGGACATAGTCTCCATAAACAGAGTGCATTCTCGGACTGCTTCTGTATAACAGAGTGCGTTCTTGGACTTCTCCTCCATAACAGAGTGCGTTCTCGGACTGTGCCTCCCTAATAGAGTGCGTTTTCGGACTTGGCGTACCTGGTAGCCATTGGTAGCCATCAGCGCTGTGGGCAAAGGGTACCGCTCAAAATGCCCAGAGTCTAGACCTGTCAAATTATGATACACATCAAAAAGAGCCAGAAAATAAACTGGAATCACTTACCAACCATGCCTCACAGCTGCGTATTCTGTGGCAAGCCTTTCCCATCAAAGGGAAGCGTCAAGAAGCATATAGCTATCCGCCCCGAATGTAGAAGAAAATGGGAGTCAATAGTTGAAGATACAGATGGTGAAGGTGGTGCACCCGCTGATTTTGCTTACAACAATTCTTTTTCCCCACTTCACCGCTCACGCTCCAACTCTTTCAATCTTGATGAAGTCAACCCAGCAGCATCAAAAAGTCGACGGGTGACGGTTGAAGATGTGGCCGATGAAGATGGCAGGCAGTATTTCAGAGCCATGTCCTGATGCTGGCTGGACTGTTGCAGGAGGGGCAAACTAGTTTTGAAAGGTATCAGCGATATAAGGAGGGTGAAGGCGAAGACGAGTGGGCACTCTTTTGCGACATGTATGAGTCGTGTTCTGTTTATCAGGTCCGCAAGAAAATTAACTTTGGTCCTGGCAGGGAAGATTGGGGACTTGCAGAATGGCTTGTTAAAAGCCTTGGGCAGACTCGAACGGATGAATTTCTGAAGTTACCGATAGTAAGCTTGGCGTTGATGACTGAAAAATATGCACTGACCATAGTAATAGACGCAAAACCATATGAAACCTTCATTCCACAACAATCGGTCATTCCTACAGAAGGTCAATAAGCTGCCGCACGGACCTGCCTGGAGTTGCAAGAAGGTTAGGCGTCAAGGGAAATCGAAATGGACGAGAATGGCCAGTTGCTGCATGAGGATGTTGAGCTTTGGATGCGTGACCCTGTGGAGTGCATCAAGGATCTTATCGGTAATCCTTTATTCAAGCAACATATGGTATACGCACCATCACGAGCGTACAAGGACAAAGCAGGTAGTCAACGGCTCATAGACTGATATGTGGACAGCTGATTGGTGGTGGGACAAGCAAGTGAGTAGCACATTGATTTGAAACAAGGAAAAAGCACTTACCTTCGCATCAGAAAGAACTGCCCAAAGGAGCGACCTTAGCTCCCATTATCCTGGCTTCCGACAAGACATTGCTTATCCCAATTTCGAGGCGACAAATCTGCATGGCCCTGTTTACCTGTCAATCAGCAATATTGCCAAAGAGAAATGACGTCAAACAACGGCACGTGCTACTGTCCTCATTGGGTACCTACCAGCCACGAAGCTCAACTGCTTCACCTCTGATGAATGTTCCCTCACCGGATACCGACTATTTCATCACTGTTTGTCCCTGCTGCTGGAGCCACTCATTGTGGCTGGTCAGGATGGTGTAGACATGGTTTGTGCTGACTCACTGGTTCGACAAGTGTACCCCATACTTGCCGCCTATGTTGCAGACTTCCCTGAACAGTGCCTGGTCGCTTGCTGTAAAGAGAACCGTTGCCCTAAATGTTTGGTTGCAGCTGATGAGCGGGGCAACCCACTGAATTCATTGATGAGAGACCTGGATTCGACAAAGGAGACGCTGGAGAGATGGAGGAGTGGTCAGCACCCTGGAGAATTTGATGAGCATGGGCTGCGTGCCGTGTATAAACCTTTCTGGGCAGACTTACCCCACACAGACATTTTCATGGCGTTCACACCAGACCTCCTTCACCAACTGCACAAAGGGGTCTTCAAAGACCATCTCGTCAAATGGTGCCTCGAGATTGTGGGCGAAGACGAAATTGACGCACGCTTCAAGACCATTCCGGACTATCCCGGTCTTCGTCATTTTAAGAAAGGTATCTCCAGCATCAAACAATGGACAGGAACTGAGCACAAGGAGATGCAACGCGTTTTTGTGGCACTAATTACTGGTGCAGTCCCAAGGTACTATATTCTGCCTGTCTGCTCAGGTTTGACGAATTGGCCTGGTTTAATTCACAGTCGAGTTGTCACCGTCGCACGGGCCATATTAGATTTTTGCTATTATGCACGACTTCAGACACATACAAGCGAATCCCTGGACGGCCTTGAGAATGCACTCGCAGTATTCCATGCGCACAAGGACGTGTTGAAGGAACTCGGAGTTCACGAGCATTTCAATATTCCAAAGTTACATCAATTGTCTCACTACGTTCAATCAATCAAATTGTTTGGAGCTGCTGATGGATTCAACACCGAACTTCCCGAGCGCCTGCACATCGACTTCGCTAAAGAGGCTTACTGTGCAAGTAACAAGCGTGACTACGAGGAACAAATGGCATTATGGCTTCAACGCCAGGAAGCAATCTTCTGGCGGACCTCTTACCTCGAATGGTTGGCTGAACGTGCTGCTCAGTCAGAACATGAATTTGACTATAACTCTGACTCAGATGCCGAGAACGAAGACTTCAACTTGGTGCCTGTTGTTTCGCAAGAGTTAGTTCGTGTTCTGGCAAAGACACCTCTGCACCCTCGGCAATCTGTTCTACATCTTGAAACTATACATGGTGCCGTCGATTTTCTGCCTGCCTTCAAGTCGTTTTTACAGAAGCATCTGCCACATAATCGCATTGTGCCTGGCTATCAAGACCGTTTTGACGTTTTTCAACAAGTCGTCGTCATCCTTCCCCCCGACCTTCGTGTGTCCGAGTTACCCAAGTGCCTGCGGGTGAGGGCAACTCCTGCAGTGCTTCCTTTGCCTTCTGGATGAAAGCTGGGTTCCCCTGCACGATTTGACATGGCATTGATTAGTACTGATGGTGTCCAAGCATCGAAGTTACTCACCCTGGATGGTACGTCAAAGCCTTACAATTGACAAAGTACAATGACGAACTCTAAGTTATAGCTGCAGTCTGAGTCGCACAAGTCCGTGTAATATTCACTGCTGCCTCATCAATTTGGCGCATACTCATGCCCCCTTGCCTACATTGAATGGTTCACGCCATTCAGAGAGCCAGACCAGTTGTCTGGTCTGCGCCAAGTCTCACGTTCGACTCGTCAGTTGCGTCGGAATGCGGCCATGATACATGTTGACGAAATTATTCGTCCATGTCATCTAATCCCAAAGATGGGTCAATCGGTCAACCCTGCATGGACGAGCGCAAATGTGTATGAGTTGGCGAGTGAGTTTTACTTGAATACATTCATTGACCTCGAGAGTTTTTGTATGTCCACTATGATTACTTAGAATAGCACTACAGCGCTCCATATAATTACAATGTGCTACAGAAATGAATTTGACTACGGTTACTACAGTGGCTCCTGGTGCCTACCAGCGTCTCCCATAGCTCTACATAGCCCTGATTTGAGCTACATATCACTACAGTGACTATGTAGCACTATGTAGCTGTCACTGGGACTCCGACGATTTGGGGTTTTTCCTGATGTCAAACCTGTCTTAAATATTGCAAACCCTGATGTGTGATGCTACTGGCCCATTGATAGTAGAGGACCCTGGGAGTAGGAGCCGAGTGCCGAGTAGCACCGTGGTTTAGCGAGCCATTCAGTGTCCTTTGGGCTTTGTCAGTAGCATAGTGTCTGTCACCACATCTCGCCTTGCTCGCGACAGGCAGGCACACAGTCGCGGATACACCGCTCCAGTGGCGCCAACTTATACTTGTTTACACTGTGGGCATTAGGGGTGCGCTATGAGACAATATCAGCAGATATGCAAACGTTAGGAAAACTTACATACATCAGTAAATCATGAGTTCACTTCTTACCTACTTATGGCCAACTTTTTCGCACGACACAGTGGGACGTCATGTCAAGGCAACAAACGTGAACACTGCTTTTTTCAGTAGATCTCTCGCCTCAAATTCAACTTTTTCTCAACTTTTAACAACTTATTTTATGAGACCCACGTGAAACGGCACATTAAAAACTGTCTGGAATTGAAAATAAGTAGTCCAAAAGCTGCGAAAAGTGGAGGCAAAAAGCATCTAGAAAGCGGTTCAAAAGCGCGAAAAATGGAGACAAAAGGTAATCTAGAAGTAGCCCAAAAATACGGAAAGATGGCTCGAATTACTGGTCCAGGAGGTGGGGGAATTATGACAAAGATGTGTTAATAAAATGACAGATGATGCAGGACAGAGGGACGAAGCCGAGAAGTATTCTGTTGGACACTGCGGTCAGTAGAGTACATATCAAGTAAAAATGACTTACAGAGCAGGGCACGTCCGCCCATTGGCTTTAGCTGAGAAGGAGCATCTTGGGCCGTTTCCTGCCTGCTTCCGCACTAAGGCAATTGTATCCATCATGTACTTCACCCCTTGCCTCTTGAGGGATTCATAATATTCCAATGTCACCGAGCCGCAGTTAGCCTCCAAAAAGGCTGATGCTGTAGTGGTGTCTTTACTGGTTGATTTGTTGCACTTCAGGGGTGTTTTGCAGGCCCTAATGCTGCCCTTCATGCTGTTGGTGCCTGTGCTGAAGTCATTGGCAAAGTTTTTTTGGCTTTGTGGCGAAATTGAAAGCGCGTTCGAGCTGCAAAAACAAACCATCAATCAAAGTTAAAATTAACAGACATGACCTACTGCAGCAGCACTTGCAGCGATTATAGCTTGGATGCCCTTCACTTGTAGTGTGTCTGTGTCTAGTGCCGGTACATTGAGGAATCCAGCAGTTGCGTTGATGTGAGCAGACTCGATCATTTCTATCATGAACACCGACCGGTAGATCTTGTTGGGGTCGCGATTCTCCAGATCCTCATAGAGGAAAGCCCAATTCTCAAGAAGACTTGCCTGCTAGTTCCTGTTCATAGTCAGCATTGTCGTCATCATCAGTCTCGTTATTTTTGGAAGTGGCCAAAAAATTAGTGACGAGGGCAATTGCTGTTGATCCAAAATTGCTGCACCAGGAGCAAAGGCATTGATTCACCTTCGGTGCAAATTGAAATAGTCGGATATGAAAATAAGAGTGAGACATACCAAGCCCATAATAGGGCCTTTTGTTGAACATTGTAATCCGTTCCTGGAAACGCAACATTAAAAATGGCCTGGAGTGCTGGAAGTAAATTTCGGCCTCGATGGACCAAAAATTTGGCTGGGCGCCTGCCCAAAGAAAAACTGTTGGGATAAAGCTCCTGCCCATGCACTGTCCTCCAGCATAATTGGTGGGAGATCCGTGTGTTCGCCACTGACTTCCAGTTTTGGGCCTCGTTGCCATGTCAGCAGACAAAGCTGGTCAGAGATTGTTGGAAGGACCAGTTCCAATTTCGGTTGGGATAAAGCTCCTGCGCCATGCATGTCCTCCAGCATAATTGGTGGGAGATCCGTGTTTCGCCACTGACTTCCAGTTTTTGGGCCTTGTTGCCATGTCAGCAGACATCAAGCTGGGTTCAGAGATTGTCAGAAGGACGGTTCCAATTTCGGTTTCTTGGGTGGGTTCGGTTTCGCGGTGCCAGCGACTGTCACACTAGTCTAGAGTATATATTAGCATCATAAAAACACTTACCTTTGTAGTAGTGTGCGTTTTCTCGGGGACCCTTGTGATCGAGGAAGATTCTTCATAGACTAACATAGGGTCAATAATGAACTCCTCCTCCTCCTCCTCCCTCCTCCTCCTCCCCCCCTCCTCCTCCTCATCGTCTTGATTGTTGTCTTTGGAGGAGCCTATCAACTCGGCCTCCTCAATCGTTCTCTTTGTGGACGAGACTGCACGAGGTTGCCGGGCCTGCTCCAGAGCAAATCTTACTATGTCAGCCTGTTGACTAAACAGCAGTAGATTAAATGGCATGGATACAGGAACAGTCGGACAATCCGTCATCTGAACTCTCAGCGATCTGTACGATAGACTAAGACAAACTGATGTGAGTATGCATCAAACAAAGACGAGCGAACTCACCTTCATTCCCAGCTTCCCTTTTATATCAGTAGACAGGTGCTTTTCAAAATATTCATCATCCCCATCTCTATCTTCTTCATTGCCTCCGTCCTCACCATTGCCTCTGTCCTCGCCATTGCCTCCGTCCTTGCCATTGCCTCCATCCTCGCCATTGTCCGATACGGAATCGCCTGACGAATCCATCAAGGAAAGGGGTGGGTCTTTTGCAAGTGAGACTGTGGTTGCTGCAGTCTGACTTGTCTTCAGGGTTGTCACTGACAAAACAGAACCACCTGAAGGTTCAGTTTCAGGTCTCACGACAGGGGACACTTTTGACTTTGTTTCAGGTTCCACTGTGAGTGCGCCAGTTGTTGACCTTTCCTGTCAAACCAAATTTCTTACTACTAAGTGCCCAAGTCAAGGTTATAAAGCACAGCGTGGATTCAGTGAGCATCAACATGATGGTGAGAAGATAAATTCACTGACAGTAAAGGATTTCTGTCATATACCATATTCCCGGGTACAGATCCGAAGATCCGGATCTCAGATCCGATCCAGATTCGATGGACATATCCTGTCATCCGGTCCACAGATCCGATCTGATTCTTATTTCATGTCCTGTTCATATAACTCTAACTATCATTCATCTCCTTTCGGCATTCCTGTACACTGGTATACCAGTTATCCTTTACTTCTGTTATGCTTACTGATCCACTACACTTACTGATCCGCTTTAGCTTATACTTCATTCCTGATTATGATTTGTTATCCATCTGACTTACCGATATGCTGTACACATACTTTGCTTATACTTCATACATAGCCTCGCGCCCTTGCTTATTGATCATTCCATTAGTTATCCGTAGTATATAAACCCTTGTACATGCGCTGTAGTAGATCAGTTCGAATATCATCTTAGATTGCACTCATTCTGTCAGGACTCTAAGTCCCTCCATTATCCGTCTGGACTCGAGTACAATACTCTTGTCTACTCCGAGACTTAGGATTGATTCCTATAGTCTATATATCCGTCTCTGTCTTCGGACAGTCCTCACCCGTTAGTTTTCTAGTTTCGGATCCGATCCGGATTAGCTGTTACTCTATACATTTGATATCCAGAAGCCTTAATGGATCTGTTACGATACTTATCTGTCTCACTAGATGCGATACTCTGGCACTCTGAAATAAGGGGCAAGACTCGGGAAAGGGGCACAGCGCACGAGCTGAGGCCAAAGCCCTTTGGATCCGATACCATTTGAGTACGGTCTTAACAATTTCCTTTCTTGTCAGTACCAGTCCCTTTGACTCGCTGATCGCTTCCAAGGATTGTAGCACCGATTGCCTCATGCACCTTCTTGATCTTCTTCGGCGGCTTTGCAACCTTGTTCCTAACCACTTCAACATCTCCTTCACCCAGATCACCAGCATCCTGGCCCTTGATGCCACCTTGACTCTGAGCCGGTGCTGGAGGCACAGACAGACTCCCAGAGGTAAGTTCACTAGCTGCACCTACCTTATCTGTCTTTTTCTTGACTGGCCTAGCACGAGGCTTTACTGGCTTCACTTTTGCAGTCACCTGGATGCCCTGCTCCACCTCCATGGCAGCCTCAATGCTTGCGATACAATCAATTCCACGCTGCAAATTGGCTTCCTGTGCAGCCTGCGGTCTGTGGCACGCTGTTTGTCCTCCTTGATCTGGGCTTTGGTGCGTCATTTTTGTTTACCTTCAAGAAGCACAAGCCCAGGGCATTGTGTGGCATTTTTGACATGTGTACGGCGAGGAGAGAGGGGAGGTGCCATGGCGGATATGAACGGCAGGCAAGGACAAAAGAGGAATGCGGCAAATGACAATGATAAAAGGTAAGTCAAAGTAAATTCAATGTACGAAATTTCCTAATGCAACAACAACCCTTCAGTAGCACTCAATACTGATTTTCCAAGTCTGCCTACACTCGCTACAGGTATGTGTACTCACCTCCAACACAGGCTAGTCAACTTAAGCTATCCAACAGTTCCTCCTGCACTCAGTCTCCAGTCCAGTCATTGGATTCTTCCATACATCACTCAAGGCAAGGGCATACCACCCATCTCAGTAAGTCAATCAAATTCTTCCACACATTACACTCAAATGTCTACTCAAGGAAAGGGCTGTACCACCCTCCCTCTTGTGCTCAACCTCCTCCGGTCAGTCATCCACCCATCACTCGAGGCAAGGGTCGTACCACCCGTCACTCGAGGCAAGGGCGTACCACGCATCACTTGAGGCAAGGGGTACCACGCATCACTCAAGGCAAGGGCATACCACCCCTCCGTCCTACATTCAGTCTCAGGTAAGTCATTTAAATTCTTTCACACATCACACTCAAATGTCTACTAAAGCACATCTACTCAAGCCAAGGGCATACCGCAACAGGTTTTTGGCGCCATGTCACAATTACCCCGAGAGCCTAGCGGTCTTTGCATCTCTTGTACGAAGCCAGGGTGCAACCGCTGGTTTAGGAATCGGTCAGGGTACACTCAACATATGAATGTGAAGCACCCCGCTTTCTTAACGCCACCTCGTTCACCAAGTTTGGGCTTGCCCCTGATATCACAGATCTCGACTTAGACTTTGGTGACACCGGTCCCATGGATGACAAAGATCCTCTGCAATCAATGGCAGAATTTTTTGGCACTGGTGATCGGTTGTATAGGAATTACCATCCTTTCTTGTCTGGTAAGTTGTTCAACCGTTCAATTTTTGTTAAACGATACTAAAAAATATACCTACACCTACATAGCTCGCCCCTGTGATCCTGATGGCGCATTCCTTCCACCAGGAACTCCTCCACCACCACTCACAGAAAAGTCACTGGATGACTGGACTCCATATGGAAGCCACGTCGAATTTGAGCTTGCCGACTACCTGTTTACAAGGAATCAAACTCCCGCAAATTCGATCAATCAACTCCTGAACATTTGGGCAGCTTCCTTAGTCCAAGCTGGGAGTAAATTCACGCTGTTTCCTGATCATCGCAACCTCTACAAGACAATCAACAATACTCCCCTCGGTGACGTCAAATGGCAGTCTTTTTCAGTCAAATACACTGGCGCCATTCCAGATGAAGGTGCCCTGCCCTGGATGGAAGATTCTCATGATGTTTGGTTTCACGACCCCCGCGATGTTGTTCGAAATATGCTCGCTAATCCAGAATTTGCTACGGAGATTAACCTTCAACCCTACCGCGAGTTCGCAACGGAGAATGACGAACGCCAATAGAAAGATTTCATGTCTGGAGATTGGAGCTGGGCTCACGCTGTACGTATTTCATTATTTTATTGTGCTCAGTTTTAACCAAGGCATCTACAGGACAAGATATCCGAAGATCCCGACACTCATGGCTCAACATTCGTGCCAGTCATTCTCGGAAGCGACTAAAATGATCGTTTCAGTTGCAACAGGACAGAACGACTACTATCCACTCTACGCCTCTATCGGTAACGTTCAAAATAATGTGCGTCGCGCTCATCGTGGTGCTGTAGCTGTTATAGGCTTTCTTGCAATGCCCAAAAGTAAGTGGTGACTTACTCCCTGTCGCATCTTTCTGACATCTTGAAAGCAACCAAAGAGCACGCCGAGACACCAGGCTTCCGAAATTTTCGACGCCAACTCTTTCATTCTTCACTTTCGTTCATCCTCAAGAACCTCAAGCCTGCTATGACGAAACCTGAGGTTGCACAGTTCGGGGATGGCCATTATCAGGCACATGATCTACAGGACTTGGACCTTACATTGCAGACTATGAAGAGCAAGTTCTGCTCACCTGTATATTATGAAATTGGTGTGGCCAAGTAAGTTTTTCTCGATGATCTACTGTTGTTTATGCTTATGTCAAGCAAGGTGTCTTTCACATCATGGAAACCTTGATGATATCAGTCTCTGTCGCTCAAGATCTCACACAGATGCACTCATCGAGGAGTGCGAACTCTGGAACCCTGAAGTCTGAATACGGTTTAGTTGGCGAGCTTGTGGTACCTCGCTCCCTCATTTTTCTTTACACTTAGATTCACTTGTGAATATAGCCATTTACGAACGATTTCCCCCACGCTGATATTCATGAGCTGCTCGCACCTGACATTCTCCATCAGCTCATCAAGGGAGCATACAAAGATCATTTGGTCGAGTGGGTAGAGAAATATCTCCTGCAGACGCATGGAAAGAAGCAAGCTAACATTATTCTAGATGATATTGACCGAAGGTGCGTTTTTCTCTATTGTAATTTCACTTTGACTTAATTTTTCATAGGATCGCGGCAGTTCCTCCATTCCCTGGATTGCGCAGATTTCCCCAAGGACGTCACTTCAAACAGTGGACAGGTGACGACTCAAAAGCACTTATGAAGGTAATCTACATTTTGTTCTATGTAAAACATTGTAGCACTAATTGTCCTAAGGTTTACTTGCCCGCGATTGAAGGTTATGTCCCGGTTGATGTTGTGCAGTGCCTTCCGGGCATTACTTGAGTTCTGTTACCCTCGTCAGTCAGTAATGTCATCACTGAAAAGTCCCTCTCTGAAATTGAAGATGCACTTACTCGTTTTCGTACATATCACGAGGTTTTCAAGACCACCGGAGTAGTCACTACCTTCTCGCTTCCTAGGCAACATTCCATGTCTCACTATGTCTACCTTATTCGACTGTTTGGTGCTCCGAATGGGCTGTGCTCCTCAATCACGGAGTCCAAGCACATCAAAGCCATAAAAGAGCCTTGGAGGCGTTCCAGCCGATACAAGGCGCTGGGACAGATGCTGCTAACTAATCAGCATTTAGATAAATTGGCAGCATCATGCGTGGATTTCTGTGTTCGTGGAATGCTTGCAGGTACATGTTTGTCTGCTGTTCTCACATCACTCGGTATGTTTTCCCTATCTTGTTTAGTATTTAATTATGACTTTCATTACTACTAGAACCATCGGCAGATAGAGGACCTGCTATTCGCTCTGCGCAAACTGATGCAGAAGAGCCCCATATCAGCTTGGACTCACAAGAACCTGACATGCCAAAAAGTGCCAGCGTGCTTGATGCTGATGTCGTCGCTGACTCTGAGGACATTGATGCACCGACATCTGTCCTTGCACATGTCAAACTCGCACAAACATCTCGTATATCATTTGTTCATCTGCTCAATCTTGATATGCTTACTATTGATTCAAATAGAGGGGATAAAGCGGGCGCAAAGTGTCCATGCGCTCGCCAACGAGCTTGATATCCCGCATTTGGCTGATCTTGTCTCGCAATTCCTTGCTGGACAATTATATCCAGACATGGACCCTACCGAAGTGCCTGACAATCTCATGGACTGCCCTCGTTTCAATGGGAAGATACGGGTCTTTAATTCCGCAGTATCGGTGTTCTTCGCACCAAGCAATTTGAGTGGGATTGGTGGGATGAAACGTGAATACATTCGTGTGTCTCCCAAGTGGAGAAGTGGGCATGCGCGCAAAGATTGCGTGTTTGTCATTACTGACCCAAATGCTCACGGAATGCAGGGCATGGACATTGCTCAGGTACTCACTTTTTTTTCCTTTTCGACTTAGGGGTGTATACTATCCATGTGCGGTTGTCCGCTGGTTCAACCAAGTCGGAAATACACCAGATGACGACACCGGAATGTGGATGGTGGAGCCTTCTTCCGTTGATCAGCACGCACATTTCGCGGTCATCCATGTGCATCAGGGAAATCGATGATTCCTAATTTGACACAATATCACCAAATTCTCGCGGATTGTCGAGGATTCGATACATTCCATTGATATGACTGATTTTTTTAGTCCCCCTCCCAATTGTAGACAATTCACCCTAATTACTACCAATACCAAAGCGTAAATCAGACAATAGATCCAATTCAAATATCGCGAAAACAATCAAATTCAGGTGAATCCTAGTCAATTTTACTACTAGCGCTCGTCACCTACTACTCCTCCGACTCTGGCATTGCATCAATGTCAAGGAACATCAACGCCTCGTCCGTCTCGAGATCGCACACCACGTTGGCCTTGGAGCCACTGCATACCGATAAAATAGTATCAGTGGATACTATTTTTCGTTCTGCTCACCTTATTCCTGTCTACGGTACTGATATGCTCCCCTTGGTGATTAAATCCCACCACGTTCTCGACATATTCACCCTTTTCTATGTCAACAAGTATGCTGACCATCACGCCTTCGAAATAGCATGTTAGCATAACGCACTTCTTTCTCTTACCTTGTTTACTTCTTCGTTGTAGCTCGCTTTTTGACTTGGTCACTTTTCTATGGCTTTTCCGCTTATTATATGCTTGTTACTTAATTTCAAAGCATGAGCTTTTCACGTCCAAACAGATAGTGGGAAAAAGTGACGATCTGTGATGATCCACATAAATAAGTGCAAAAAAAGCTAGAAAACTGAACTCATGATTTACTGATGCTATTTGCCTCGTGTCGCAAAGACGTCCACAAGGCGAATCCTGCGTGGGCGGAGGGGTATGGCCCTAGGGAGTGGTGGAGCGTGAAAAGATACGAATAGTCGTCTTATTCGTTCCGGACCCTTCGGCGTTGCGAGTGGGAGCAACTCAGTTGTTGTATACCAACACTACCAGTGTATCATATGCAACTCTCGCGGAAGAACTCCTGAGTATTGCCTTCGACGTTTGGCATACTGACAATGTCGTACACAACGGAGCAGTTGAAATATAACTAGAATCCTAGTATAACAATGTACACAACTGACAATAACCTACATAATGCACAATTCAGAATCGGCTCAAGTAAAATTAAAACATATTGCGAGTCCGGGAGGATTCGTTGGGAACTAACCCGTCTAGGCATCAAAGCTTCTCATGCGACCTCAGGATAATACTGCATCATGCTCCTGAGCTCCGTTTCCGGAATCCTCTTCTCAAATTCAAATGTGCATGACAGGACGTCGGGCATCAAGCCGTCCATGAACTCCATGTCCTCTAATGGCTTCGTAGGATCCAGAGTGAGTTTGTAGGCCCAAAGAATAAGGAGGGTAATTATGAACACTGATCTGTACCAACCGAAATGAGTTTGGAAGACTGGATGCGTGCAAGATAGTTTTACCTGTCCACGACATGTTGACCAGGGCATACACTGAAAGGAATGTCATTCAGAAAACGGGTGCAGAGGGACAGTACTGACCGCCGGCCAAAGCCGTAAACAAAGAATTTTAAATCGTCTCTCAGGCCACCTTCGTCGTCAATCCAGCGTTGAGGCTTGAACGCATAAGGCTCCGGGTAGACATCTGGATCCCGAGAGATAGACCTAAGGCGATGACCGTTAGATCTTTGGTTTATTGAAGCACGTTGCTCACCAATGGTTGCCGAACACCGTAGTCCCAGCTGGAATACAGTAATTTTCCTGATGGGCCAAATCATCATTTGTGCAATTGCTTGTTCAAAGATCGCTTGCCCAAACCACGTCTTTGGCTGTGCAGTGAGCCAGTCCTGCAGCGTGAATATTGTGACACCTAAGGCACAAAATGAAAATAAAGATGCCCACCGCCAGAAGCTACAGGTCGCCATCTCAAAGCCTCAGAGATGAATGCTTGCAGGCGAGGAAGGGACCCTTTGTCAGCAAAGGTCGGCGCTTTAGTGCGGAAATTATTGAATCCATAGCAATGTAATACGGAAATCAATCTAGCTACCTCGGTGCCTTCCGATGACCGCGTCGAGCTCGGCCTGAACTTTAGCTTGCTCCTCGGGGAAACAAGCGGCTGCCATGAGCACCGTGCATATCGACCTAGAAGTCTTTTGCCTCTGATTTCAGTCGCATATCTTCGGAAGCAACAAAACACCTCACCGTATCTGATCCAGCTCCAAAAAAGGCACCACCAAGAAAGGCCATCTCGGTTTCTGTTAAACCATAGGATTGGCTATCTTCCAGCATATTTTTCGTGAACGAGGGGCCGATGTCCACGTCGCTCTGCTGTGGAACGACTCAGACATGAAGTCAGGATTCAAGGAAATGCATACCATTTGCTCCTTCACGCGGTTTAGCTGATCAAGGTAGAATTTCTTACTCCTCTCAACCCCAGCTTAAGTCTCGCCCATACCAAGGAAGATGTTTGAGCCACGGAATCGAGTCCACAAGGTAAGCACCAGGACGCATGATTTCAGTAGTCACCCTGACAATTTGTTGCATCTCAATGACTTCGGGATCAGTCGCAGACGTGAGCGTATTCTTCCCATATGCAATTTTCATAATTGTCGCCGCAGCAAAACTTCAAAGTAACCGTAAGCAAAGACTGATACTATTATGAACGACAGCGCTTACGTTATCACATGGTGCCGGAGGTTGTGTGGATTATCAAGAACGCCAAGAACTATGTCCTTCGCGTGTGACATTTGCAGTGGCTGATACGCCTCAGCTGCTTTAGGTTGGAGATGAGAATGAAGTGCTCTGCATCACATTGAAAGGCGAGGTAGATGAGAGGATGTATCGCAGACTACTAACCTACGCATGCGACGGAACCGGTCCACGAAAGGCATAAAGGCAATGCTCATTCCGCCGCTAAATAACTCTCCAGCAGCAATCATGGGAGGACGATCAGCTAGAAATTTTCCCTGATTCTCCATAATTTCTACGGCGGCCTGCAACGGAACGTCTTTGAGCCAGGATATGATATCGCAGCGTGTAAGGACTGACTTTGTAACGGCCGATATAACAATTCGCTCGAATTTTAATCGAATAGTAATCAAAGGACCGTACTCGTCAATCCATCCCGCTATGGTGAGGAATGGTCTTGTCGGAGATAGGACACAATCAGCATTCAAAACTCGAAGAGTCAAATGGGACACTTTACCTGCGAGGTGGCAGGACGTGCCCTCCAAGTTTCCAAGTGGGAGGGGAAGGTGGAAGAGGAAGGCCACTTTTTGATTTAGGACGGGAAGCCCAAAAAATTACACCCGCTACAGCAAGACAAACTGCAGCACTGAGGACGAGCTGCATATTGACAGGGATGTGCAGGTCGGGTTGTTGCAGTGGGATGAGCACAAAGAGGAATCGGAGAGAACTCGTCGTAAGTTGCGGTACATTCAAAGTGAAGACTGACTTTTAAGCACCTCCTGCCAATCGACGTTTCACCTGCACGCAGATACGAAGTAATCTGGCATGCGACGGTTACGGATTTCATATGAACGGGTTGTGGTACTCCGACGGCCATACCTCATTACGCAATACTTCCACTCAAGTAACCATTCCGATGGACACGTGAATGGGGGACTCGCTTGCAATTCATTTGGCTAGCATAGTTCATCCTACTATCATCATAGAATTCGTCAAGCATTAATATTAGCGATTTTAGATACCGTGTCTGTACCATCAAATGCATGACTCACCAAGATACTGGCGTGCCTATCTAAGTCGGCGGAGACAGCTTTTACCACCAGCATAGATCCACCCACCAATTGAGGACAAACATTTTAGCTTCGACGCCAACGTTTGACACTCTACAGGACAGATACACACCATGTGCTCGTGTCTGAAACGTGTCAACCTCACGATTCCAACCACTACTTACTATTGTTGGCAGAACTCGGGAATTTTGCCCGCCGCTGGCAAAACTGGTGGTGCCTGGCCCACGGCAGAACTCACGCGAATTCAAAGGGAGGGTGGCAGAACCTGGTAGAACTCCAGGGTATCTGTCTGGATCCGATAGCACAATTTGAATTCAATAGATTCCACTGTGTCCGACTTGTTGACTGGTATTATTATCTTCAATGTTGCCGCTTGGTCAATCCACATCGCCTATGTAGGAAGGTTGCCAACGCAGAGGGGCAACAACCTGACTGTGGGCAACAGTCAGCCTGAATTGCATGAGATTGCTCAAGGTAAATCGACGATGCCACAGTTTTAATGAAGTGGATATTGCATGCAGGGGTTAGGACAGCGTAGTGGCAAGTCTGCCTTGATACGTACAACATCCGAGTAGTGAATGCGGCGATCTACATGATATATGCAATACGTTGTCGACGAGATCTACGTGCACTCGGTTTTCTCGGAGTCCTTTGTTTGGTTCACTTTGCCACTTCCGCGCAAACCTTTGGGGTTGTGTTACTTTGAAATTGAACTCAACCAGCTCAACCAGGCCTCTCTTCTCCACTTACATACTTTTCTTCCCACCACCATCACGCTAGTAGCTCAGCTGATCCGTCCCTTCTTGTACATAGTATCTCTGCACAGAGTGTATCCGCATTTATTGCCTGAAGCCTGAAGGTGAGTACTATATGCGCACTGCTTCCACTCTTCCATTCTTCATATTGAGTTTCTGCCTAGCCTAGCTCATGATGCAACTACAGCAACGACAAAGAGTCTTTGGTAGGTGCATGCATTCACCCGATACTGACAGAACCACAGGATATCCCACTCTCAAATTGTATATGACTGATCACTGCTTACTCGACGGCGATGGTGCCACGGCCATGTCCCGCTTTTATATTTAACTGCACACCTCATTCGTACTGGCCACCTAACTTCATGGACGTGTTTACATCGAGTTTGCCCTTTATGGGAGAGAAAAGTACGTTCTCGGAGGTTATTCAGAGCATCTATTCGAAACTGAGCGGTGCATATAGTCATAGATATGCTTGTCGCCGTGGTAAACACTTTTCGCACCTTCCTGCAGTCTATCGTCCCCTAGAGTACATAAATTCTATGCCGACTCGTTCCTCGGCGACTTAGAAACCCATCCTAGTATAATAATATACACAACCGTCAACAATGGTTTTTCTCCATGATCGCACCTTGGCCACGAGCTCATAGAGAGGTTTTTGAACGTCAACCATGAGACTCATGGCCAAGTGGTCAACAGATTTGAAATCTGTTCCTGCTGGATCGCGCAGGTTCGAAACCTGCCTACAAAGATTTTTTCTCCATGATCGCACCTTGGGCATGAGCTCATGCTGAGGTCTTCGAACATCAACCATAAGACATATGGTCAAGCTGTTAACAAATTCGAAATTTGTTCTTCCTGGATGATGCAGATTCGAAACCTGCCGACATATTTTTCTCTGTATGAATCTGAATGCTGCGTATCATACAATGGCAGTCGTTTATTGGGAGCAACATCGAACTGCGTATGTCTTCAAATACGCAGTCCATGTAGTGATATCTACTCTCACCTAAATTTTCGGAAAGGACACAAAGCCTAGCGGGAGCTGGAAGCATACGAACTTGTTTGTCCAATACGTGAAAGACACGGGAACCACCTTGTGAGAACTGCGAAGCAGCCGATGTCTGGAATGTGTTCAACGTCCAACGGGAAAGGGAGTCTGTTACTAGTAGCTGCACTGGTGCTTTCAGTCTGCAAAGTTGCCGGAGTGGCTCCGTCGATCACATTGGATGTCCCTGCTGGTGGCGTGCGGCAAGGGAGACGTCGTGGTGGCTGCGCCAACTTATACTTGTTTCCACTGTGGGCATTAGCGGTGCGCTACGAGACAATATCAGCAGATATGGATATCCAAAGGTTAGGAAAACTTACATATTTGCCTCGTGTCGCAAAGACGTCCACAAGGGGATTTCTGCGCGGGCGAGGAGTATGGCACTGGGGAGCGAGAAAAGAGACGGTTCATCATGTTCTTCATTCCGGGCCCTTCGGGGTGGCGAGTGGTAGCAACACAGTTGTTGCGTCCAGCTGGAGAACGTAGATCAAACTGTCAAAGGATGGTGAGACGTACCGACACTACTGTATCATATGCAACTCTCGCTGAAGAACTCTTGGATATTGCCTTCGACGTTTGGCAGACTTGCAATGTCGTACACACAGCGGAGCATAGCTAGAATCCTGGTATAACGATGTACACAACCGACAATAACCTACACAATGCACAATTCAGAATCGGCTCAGGCAAAAGTAAAACATACTGCGAGTCCGGGAGGATTCGCTGGGAACTTGTTCTTTGTTCTCCCCCTAACCAGTCTAGGCATCAAAGCTTCTCATGCGACCTCAGGATAATGCTGCATCATGCTCCTGAGCTCCGTTTCCGAAATTCTCTTCCCAAACTCTAATGTGTAGGGCAGGACATTTGGCATCGAGCCGGCCATGAGCTCCATGTCATCTAATGGCTTCGTAGGATCCAGAGTGAGCTTGTAGGCCCAAAGAATAAGGAGGGTGATTATGAACACTGATCTGTACCAACCAAAATGAGTTTGGAAGACCGCGTGCGTGCAAAATAACTTTACCTATTCGCGACATGTTGGCCGGGGCATACGCTGAAAGGAATGTCATTCAAAAAACTGGAGGCTGAGGCATAGTACTGACCGCCGACCAAAGCCGTAGACAAAGAATTTTAAATCGTCTCTCAGGTCGCCCTTGTTCGTTAATCCAGCGTTGAGGCTTGAACGTGTATGGTTCTGGGTAGACATCTGGATCCCGAGAGATAGACCTAAGGCGGTGACTATTAGATCCTTGATTTCTTGAAGCATGATCCTACCAATTGTTGCCGATTACCGTAGTCCCAGCTGGAATACAATAGTTTTCCTGATGGGCCAAATCATCATTTGGGCAATTGCTTGTTCAAAGATCACTTGCCCAAATCACATCTTTGGTTGTTCGGTGAGGCGCTCCTGCAGCGTGAATGTTGGGACACCTAGGCACAAAATGAAAACAAAATGCCCACCGCCAGAAAGCTACAGGTCGCCATCTCATAGCCTCAGAGATGAATGCTTGCAGGCGTGGAAGGGACCCTTGGTCGGCAAAGGTCGGCGCTTTAGCGCGGAAATTATTGAATCCATAGCAATGCAATACAGGAATCAATCTAGCTACCTCGGTGCCTTCCGATGACCGCGTCGAGCTCGGCCTGAACTTTAGCTTGCTCCTCGGGGAAACGTGCGGCTGCCATGAGCACCGTGCATATCGAGATAGAAGTCTATCGACACTGATTTTAGTCGCATGTCTTCGGAGGCAACAAAACAACACCTCACCGTATCTAATCCAGCTCCAAGAAAGGCACCACCAAGAAAAGCCACCTCGGTCTCGGTCAAACCATGGGATTGGCTATCTTCTAGCATATCTTTCATGAACGAAGGACCGATATCCATGTCGCTCTGCTGTGGAACGACTCAAACATGAAGTCAAGATTCGAAAGGAAATGTATACCATTTGCTCCCTCACACGGTTTAACTGACCAAGGTTGAATTTTTTTCCTGCTCTCAAACTCCAGTTTCAAGTCCCGGCCATACCAAGGGAGGTATTTGAGCCACGGGATCGAGTCCACCAGGTAAACACCAGGTCGTAGGATTTCAATAAACCTTCTCATCATTTGAAGCGCCTCAATGACATCGGGATCAGTAGCAGATGTGGGCGTATTCTTCCCATATGTAACTTTCAAAATTATCGTTGCAGCATAACTTCAAAGTAACCGTAAGCAAAGTACTGATACTATCATGAATGACAGCTCTTACGTTATCACATGGTGACGGAAGTTGTGTGGATTATCAAGAACGCCAAGAACTATGTTCTTCGCGTGTGACATCTGCAGTGGCTGATAGGCCTCAGCTGCTTTAGGTTGGAGATGAGAATGAAGTGCTCTGCATCACATTGAAAGGCCACGTAAATGAGTGGATGTATTGCGGATTACTAACCTACGCATGCGACGAAACCGGTCCCCAAAGGGTATAAAGCCAATGCTCATTCCGCCACTAAATAACTCTCCAGCAGCAATCATGGGAGGACGATCAGCTAGAAATTTGCCCTGATTCTCCATAATTTCAGCGGCGGCCTGAAACGGAATGTTGTTGAGCCAAGATATGATATCGCAGCGTGTAAGGACTGACTTTGTAACGGCCGATGATAACGATCCGCTCGAATTTTAATCGAATAGTAATCAAAGGACCGTACTCGTCAATCCATCCTGCTATGGTGAGGAATGGTCTTGTCGGAGATAGGACACAATCAGCATTCAAAACTCGAAGAATCAAATGGGACACTTCACTTGCGAGGTGGCAGGACGTGCCCTCCAAGTTTCCAAGTGGGAGGGGAAGGTGGAAGAGGAAGGCCACTCTCTGATTTAGCACGGAGAAGCCCAAAAAATTACACCCACTACAGCAAGACAAGCCGGAGCGCTGAGGGCGAGCTGCACGTTGACAGGGATGTGCAGGTCAGGTTGTTGCAGTGGGATGAGCGCAAAGAAGGATTGGAAGGAACTCATTGTAAGTTGCGGTACATTCAAGTGAACAGTGACTTTTCAAGCACCCCCTGCCAATCGACGTTTCACCTGTACCCAGATACGAAGTAATCTGGCATGCGACGGTTACGGATTTCATATGACCGGGTTGTGGTGCACTACAACGGTCATACCACATCACGGAATACTTCCACTCAAGTAACTATTCCGACGGACACGTGAATGGGGGACTCGCTTGCAATTCATTTGGCTAGCATAGTTCATCCTATCATCATAGAATTCGTCAAGCATTGATATCAGCGATTTTAAATGTCGTATCTGTACCATCAAATGCATGACTCACCACAATACTGGCGTGCCCATCTAAGTCGGCGGAGACAGCTTTTGCCACCAGCATAGATCTACCCACCAATTGAGGACAAACATTTTAGCATCGACGCCAACGTTTGACACTCCATAGGACAGATCCACACCATGTGCTCGTGTCTGAAACGTGTCAATCTCACTATTCCAACTGCCACGTACTGTTGTTGGCAGAACTGGGGAGTTTTTCCCGCCGCTGGCAAAACTGGTGGTGCCTGGCCCACGGCAGAACTCCAGGGTATCTGTCTCATTTTGAGCACAATTTGAATTAAATATATTCCATTGTGTCCGACTTGTTGATCGGTATTATTATCTTCAATATTGCCGCTTGGTCAATCCACATCGACTATGTAGTAAGGTTTCCACTGATTGTGGGCAACAGTCAGCCTGAATCGGATGAGATTGCCCAAGGTAAATCGACGACGCCACAGTTTAATGAAGTGGATATTGCATCCACGAGAAGCTGGGGATAGGACAGCGTAGTGGCAAGTCTGCCTTGATGCCGTGACGTACAACATCCGAGTAGTGATATGGTATCGTCGCGTGCAGGAATGTGGGGTACATTCCAAGGGTTGCAATACCGAATCGTAAAATCCATCGATCGTGTCTCAGTTGCGGAGGTATGTGCCATCACAAAAATTGCTCAACTGAGATGTTTGGTGGTCTATCCCGAAGCAAGGCACGAGCGTAGGGTTAGAGTAAGGACTTTGTGCCAGCGTCAGTGCAGCACGTGACTACTCTTGTCTCCGTACCATGTCGACGGTCGTACTCGGCCGCACTCCAGCAGGCTCCTGCCTGGCTGCTGCCTTCCGCTTTTCTTTTCTCACCATTTTCCTTTCTTTCTCATCATCTGTTTCTTGCTGCTGTTTCTTTCTCGCAGTTTCACCAGTCTTTCTCGGATCTCAAATCTTGGCCTCGAACTTCGACTACCAACTTTCTAATTCCGAGACCCGGTCTATTCCTGGTCCTATGCTGCCAACTCGGTGAGCTCTGAAGGCTCAGATCCTTGTATGCATCCGCATACAATGAAGACAAGTCCAGCGGGGAAGCTGGCCATGGGTTGGGAGCTTCACAGGGTGCTCCGGCACCACTCTCTCATGTTTACCCATGCAGGAAGTTTGCAACTGCAAACTCTCGTCAGGTCTTCTCAGTCTGCTGAGGTATAAAACCTGATAAGGGGAGGGAACTTCTACCCAGTTTCCGCAATTTCATGTGGTGAGCTATCCCTAAGGACTGCTTCTGCCCTCCCAATATTGCTTTTGCCTGCATTTTTGCTTATGTGGATGCCTCGCCTCCTCTTCGGCGATACTACCACACTTTCACTTTGATGATGCCGCCATGCTACCTCTTACCTGCTACCTCTCACCAAGCTACTTCTCACCAAGCTGCCTCACACTACACTACCTCTTGCTGAGCTATCTTTCTATCATGCTCCTTGTTTCCTCACCTCATTGCATTGCTCTGCAGCTCCTACAACTGTGGGGATCTGAGGCTCACTTCGCTGCGTCGCATTCACTCCTACTTTCTTGGGATTCGCAGCTCACCTTGGCTCACTCTTGCACAGGTTTGGGCCGCTATTGGGGCTCCGCCCAAATAGCTATCTGCATCCAGTCAATGCAAACATTCTCTCTCTCATGCTCTCACCGAAACCGCTGCACAATAGCCCCCACAAAGTTATCTGATTTAGACTGCTGTGCTTGTGACATGTCATGGGTCATGTTGCCGACACAATGCACCTGGGTTTCCCAATAAGTAAGCCTTACTATAGTGGTCTATTACGTGTTGTACCTACTATTGTTAGGCTTCATTGTACTAATACTCAACACCAGTGTTATATACTGTCCCAAATACTCCAGGACTCCTGCTATTTGGTGTACACTGCTGGTAAGCAGCTCGGCACTGTCCACCCGCCTATACTATCCAAATGTGTCATCCTGATGTGCCCTGCTATGCACCTAACCTTCCGAAATTGGCAAGGTACTGCTCCCATGCCCCTTGCCCTTCTCCACCACCACCACCACCACCACCGTCTATCACCCCGCCATAGGCATTGATGATGCCTTCTACACTTTTAGCAACCACCACTACATGGCACCGTCTGCTTAGCCATGCTCTACCATTCTGGATGCCAGCCTCGTCTCTCAAGGATGTCACCACCAGACTCGTCTCTCGAGGATGCCACCACCAACCTTTTTGCTATCCATGCCACGGGCATTGGCAAAGCATATTACAGGGCTGTTGAAGTCCACTGTCAAACATAACTTCCGATGTTCAGTTGAACAGTTGAAAGTACTAAGGGCAGGGCAGCAAAACCAATGCAGGGAGGATGCAAATTCAAAGCGACAATCCTGCATACAAGGTATCATAACTATATTCCTCCATGACGTCCTTCTCACGCTCTGCAGAGATGTTGATTGAGGACCGCAAGGCTGTCGAGATGATGCTAGTTGATCTCGATGTTGATATTGAACACCTACCATATACTGCTCCTCCTGGTGAGGAGGGAGCTGACCTTAGTCATGAAGGTGGGGGAGTACAAAGCCTTTGAAGGACTATCTCAGCAGATTGCTGACATCTCTGGCTTGTTATTATTATTTTTTCACACGCCTGCTAGTATGAATGTGCTGATGTATGTTAGGCACTATGTGGATCTGCACACACGTAGGGACTGCATTGATGTCCAGACCGCCAATTGGAATCTTCAGATGGAACATCTCATCAGTGCTTATTTGGACTACCGCACATGGGATTGTGGTAACGGCATGCCGTATATTTCAAATCAAGATGAACTGATGTGTAATGATGCTGACAATTTATCTCTTCAGAATATCGAGCTCATTGACGCATTCAGTAAGTAATTTCTCTTTACTTTAAGACATTCACATTCATTGATCTACAGGTTGAAAATGTGTTTCTCTGCACCCTCAAAACATTCCACAAGTTTCCAAACGAGAGTCTTATCTATCATGGATACCTGGGTTGCTCTCCGCTTCACCTGACTGTTGCTATTTCCCTCCACACACTTGCAGCATATTGACAATCTCACAGGACCTGCCCTTGGTTTAGCATTCAAGCACAATGCAAAACCTTGTGCCACCTGCATGACGTACGACAATTCAATGTAACAGTATTCGCTACGTTTAATTACATGTTGCTTTTCAATAGATTCTGGATCAACCATATTCAACACACAATTTTCGGATGTGGTTTGACGTTTACCTTGAGATCTTGAACCATGTTGACTGTATCATCAAAGCAGAGCTAAAGCATGACTTACCCAACTGGTGGCCTTCTAAACTCATGTCTGTGTTGCTTCTATAAACTTGAGGGTGAAGATAAACTAGCAGTCCAAGTGGCTATGGCTACCATCAATGGAAACATAGCTTGAAAAGATGGTTTGTCATCTACATATCGCACATCTCCATGCAAGGATTCATGGACTTATCGTTCTGACTATTGGCTTAGTCATGCGAAGGTTGATGCATTCAAAATTGGCACTCAAACACGATCAGTGAGTTCAGCTAGAATCAATTTTACGAGACTATATCATTCAAATTACAAGGGACCCTAAAGATGACTGGGAGGATGCTGTACAACTGGAGTTGGGATCCTTTCATTGTGTTGATCGCTGGCGCAATGCGGGTCCAGAGCAATGTAAATACATGTTTTCTGTTTTCGACAAGTCCAGAATCTTTATTGCAGCTTGTTGCCACCGGTTCATTCTTTTAGCCGTGTGATATGGTGAAGAGTGGGGAACTGTTTGTGTGCTTTTTACATTGTTGTCAGCCTTGCTGACAATTTTTAAGTGCAAAATACCCATTGGCTATTATAGATCATCTGCTCGGTGTTTATGGCAAGAATGGTGGAATCACGTACGACATTGGCTGCACATTTTCCAAAACGCTGTGATGACAAGATGTGGCTGGGCTGTAGGTAAAAGCACCAAACCAATATATATGAGTTTCCTGCTCTCCTAGCTGCTACTCTTGCTAGCAAGAACGTTCGACCCTAAAGGATCTCTGACTAGGCTCAGGCTCAAGAAAGGAGAGTGGAGAAGGTACTCCAAGTCAAGGTAAGAAACTATGTTCCAGGAGCTATCTGGTGAGCTGAGGGAGCTAGGAAAGCTACAACTAG